TGTTGAGGGCTTTATAAGGTTATACTGCATCGCGGAGTATAATTTCGGACCTCATACAGTAAGCAAACTGCCCTTGAATCAATAAATATACTTTATCGAAAATTTAAAAAAAAAAGAATATTCTGAAGGTCCTCAAACATTATAATTTAGAGGTAGAGGCTTCAGAACTTATAAATTACGGGCGACGGTCTCCCAAACGGAACCAGTCTTCCGCCGTGCGGTCATCTCCGACGGTCGCATTCCATGCAAGTGTGCCGTGAACGTGGTTTGGGATTCAGTTACAAACATCTCCAACAGCAGCAAGGGTGGCAGCCCCACCACCCTCTGCATCGGACTCGTCTGTGCTCCGCAGCCTCAAAGACCAGCATCACTGGATGGTAAATCTCTCCTATCAACTTTAAGGCTTTCACAGCCTCCTTAAAGTCTTCACTCGCATCCTCTCCCGATTCGACAATGTCGCCTCCAAATGTTCCAAAGTTGCAATCTTTTTCAACAACAGTTCATCCGCAAGAACCATATTCCACAATACCAAATGCAGGAGCTCGGCCGCACCATTCTCCTTTGCAGTTCAAACGACTGCAATTGCAGCTTCACCGTCGGAAGATATATCTTTTCGACCACCACGTTTCACCTAATTTTACAAGATGACTCATTCAAGTTCCTCTGCCTCAATAACCAAGAAGCCAACCCAATTTGCCGATGCAATCCTTGAATGAAATTGTGGAACGAAGTCCAAGCCGTCAACTCGCTCAACAAGCTCATCAAAACGGACCGTACCTGGTGTTAACATGGGCGGATAGGGTGAAGGGGAGGAGAGGGTTTGAGTTCAGGGTGGCGTCAGAAGTGTGTTATCCAGTGAGCTGAAAGAAAGAGCTGGAAGAAAAAAAGGAGTGTTTAAGAGGCCAGAGGGTAGGAGGTATAAGAAATGAGTGAAGGTGAAGATGGAGAAGAAAAGAAGAGGAGAGTTTCGCCGTGCATTGACGGTGACGAAGAAAAGGGACGGAGATCGTCCCCTGTAATTTATATGTTTTTGAGTTATTTACCTGTAAATTATAATGTTTGGGGACCTCCAAATGTAAAAAACCATAAAATATATGGCATCACAAGAGAGGGAGAGGGAGAGGGAGAGGGAGGGAGGAGGGAGAGAGTTAACAAACATAGATCTCATACAACAAAAAAGGCCTTGTGTATATTATTACATACATAACACTTGAATCACTGTTATTTACAAAATCTAGCACTCAGGTGATATTTTGAACTAAGAAATCGATACGTTGATGCATGCAATGTTCAAATCATTAAGAATTTAATAAAAATGAAAAATATGGGTTGGGCTTTTGTCATGAATTTTGATATTTGTGTGAGAATTTGAAAAGTGGATGAAGGATGATGCTAGATTTGTAAATAGCAATGTTTCGGGTGCTATGTATGTAAATTGTCCCTAGAATATATATACAATGTTGACCAGAGAAAAACTGTCGATGATAATTCTTAAAAAGCATTGTGGAGTGCTATTACTTCATTGCAGATTCATATGCTCCTCTGAAAGATCCACAAAAAAACAAAATAGCGGATACAAGGAAGGCCATGCAGTATACGTGAGCGCTTTGAGTATCTAATCTTCCCAGCCTGCAAATCGTGATTAAATCATAATAAATAAAGTTATTTTAAATAAATGTGGACAACCAAAAAGTAAGGCCGGTTAGGGCATTAATGATTGGAGTTAACATGCTGTAAGAACTCATGTAGAATGTGAAGAAAATTAGGGTGAAAAAGCAGACTCGCAAACTTTATCTCCAAAAGATCCATGATTTATATACGGCTTCAGCTCACAAGTCTTGAAATGGCTTTCAGGTGAGAGAGAGAGAGAGAGAGTCACTCTCTTTCGCATCTACTTTTATCACTCGTTGTTAAATCCCAAATTGTGCACGCTTCGAGAAAGAGTGCGAAAGAAAAGTTATACAACGAGACAATATTAATTTCAGAGAAATGAGTGTGCAACCCTTTATACAGCCCTATTTATAATCATAAATGGCTTAGGTTTATAATTATATTATTATCCTCCTTCTCTCACCGGTTAGAGGGTATTTCTTGTATTTTTCTTACTCTCGGGTGGTTAATATAACTACCCTTCTAAAACAAATAACTGAATGGGCACAACTTTCATAAATAGTTATGACCCTCGGATATAATACTTGGCAAGACATAATTGATTTTTATTTATTACCATAGGTGGCTTAGGTTTACAGTTGCATTATTATCCTCCTCTCATTGGTTAGAAGGTATTTCTTGTCTTTTTCTACTATCAGGTGGTTAATATAACTACCTCTCTAATACGAACAACTGAATGGACGCAACTTTATCGGATATAATACATGGCAAGACCTAACTGATCTTTATTTCTAGCTGTTGCTAGCCTAATCCCTGACTGATTTTGTTGGTCGGCTAATTCCACTGATCGTTTGCGTTCGATGGAATTATCCATTGTTTGGGTGAATCGATTGGCTGGGTGAATGTGTTAAGTCATCCGTCCGCTTGATGATTCCTCGTGTGAACTTCCGATCAAGAATAGTGTTGTTCCTTTGAACCGTTTAATCCCTTTAAGATTCATGCTGATAGTTTCCTGTAAACACTAGTTATGCACAATGATAGCTATTTGTAACACCCACTGAACGTTTAATCGCTGTAACAAGCTTCACACAAGGATTTGCTACAAGTTTCCCGTAATGGTATATAGCAAAACAAAATAGATGAAATAAATATCGCACTGAAAGTCACTGTTGTACACCAACAGTTGTTGGGTCAGATTAACCTGACTTGGTTCAACAAGTCAAAATGATTGTTAAGCAGCTTGAGCCTCCAAAAACTCAGAGCATCCCAAGCTGAACGTCACTAATAATGAAAAATTAAAGTTAGATGAGGTAATATTACTTGAGTTACTTTGGCCCAAAGTTTGCGTGCTAAGATTATAAGTGCACGCTAGAAGGAAAAAACCAAATGGTAGCTATACTCCAAAAACGAATATGCAAACTCTGAAAACTAGTAACTAAATAAAGCAATGATAGCTTTTAAACAAACAATTGAAAGAGATTTATCGAGTCCAAAACAATAAAATAATAATGATAATAAGGCTAGTTAGGGAAAGTCAAGCTTGGACTACAAGTGTTAAACATGTGCTTTTATTTTCTCGAGTCATAATTATACGTGCTCAAACCATAAAGGTTTTAAGTCAACTAGCACAAAAACATGAGAGGATTAATTACAAATAAAATAAAATAAATAGTTAATTCAAATTGATCATAAGTAATTCTATTGTAAAATAATTTAAATTTAAATCAATTATATTGTACGATGAATAGCGCGGTGTACAATTAACTTCATTTCTCAGAATTAAGCGCCCATTTAAATTTTTTTAATTAGATTAATTCATTCCAACTGATCATACAAGACAATTTGAATCGACTATAAGATCAACCAACAATCTATTTTTTAATAGAAACAAATTTTCAACCTATGCCCTTAATATATAATGATCTTTATCAAAACCAAACCATATGTGAGGGCTAGACTCAGTAAGAGAACAGACTTTTTTCTTGAGAGAAAACCTTTAAGCCTCCATTAGGAGATCATAGAACAACAGATTTTCTTGTGCGTGTATACCATTAATTGCCTTCCTTTTCTCCATAACTTGCAATCCTCAACGTTAATAGGTTCAAATATATATAAACAATTAAGAAAACTGCTGCAAGCAGTAACGCTAAAGAAAAAAACATGAGATCACAAAGACTGCAACTTACAAAGTCTAAAATCAACAAATGGGCATATAAAAAAGTAGTTTGAAACCGGAAAATATAAAGAAAATTTTATGAAAATTTAATGTTGACAATCAAAGGAAAGCTCTCATACCTTGCCCTGGAGGCCAACCCTGATCTCTAAAGCCTTGAAAAGATTCCACTGTTGATTTAACATGGCTTAAAAGGATTCTGTTCAACTTGTTTGGTTCAATGGGCTGAAGCAATGAGGCTTTATACTGTAAGCTTGAAATGCACCCAATAGTTTTCTTCGTTAACAAAGACATATATGGAGCAAAATGTTTCAAGCCAATGGTCACAGTATGCATCATCGAGAGAGCATTGGATCTTGCCAATTTCAAAGTCCCACTGCTAGTCATACTGGCTGGAGCATGAACAGTTTCTGTTAATAATTAAAGAAAACATGATTTATAAGAAAAGTGCAGATTATGTCAGATGCATTTTAAACCATATCAACAACGTTTGTCCAAAGATTAAGGTAATTCACTTCAACCTGTGCATCACTGACTTTTATGGCATTTAATTTGGCCTAAATACAGTTTCGTATATGAAATCAGAGCAAATTTGTTTTATGTGAGATCATGTGGGGCATTGCTGATAGTACAAAATGGAATCAATAATGCATTAGAAGCAACAAGCTTGGATTTGAATTTGAACCCAAATGGAATGATTTTGATAAACATGTACAACGATATCATTAAATGCCTTCACAAATCTCTTATAACAAAAAGAGAATTGATCATTGTATGCCCTGTAAAATGGGAAGCAAAGGAAGAACCAATTAGGGAGGCTCCTAAACCATGTCATAGAGCTTCAGAAGATAGGATTGTAATAACCAGTTAATAAAATAAAAATTAAAAAAAAATATGTCGTTCAAAGGAGATGTGATGCTCACGGAAAATCAAAACAAAGAATGTATCCCCTTGTTTTCTCTCATTTAAACTAAAGAGAAGAATCGGAATCGAGAACGAGAAACAGACGCAAGGCGAGGCAACAAAGAAAAAGAAGAAGAAAGAGATCTCACCCCTTGCTGATGACACCGCAGTCGAGTGAAGGAAGGGTAATGATGACGAGCAAAAGTCATGTGCGGGAGGCTCGATCGTATCTAGTGCAAAGGAAAGAAGAAAAAGGAAAAATGAAGCTTTGCATACAAGAAAGAAGAACAATCAAATGCCTCATGTGTCGTTCCAAACAGAAGAGAAAAAGGGTAGTATAGGAGCAGTCATTGTCGTGGATTGTTGGCTTGCGGGAAGGAGGCACTCTCGTATTATGGAATTGAATCAAGTGGTGACCTAAGATGTATAGAGCCGAATTGAAGGTTTTAGGTTTCAAGCGTCCTGTACGTGAAGAGAAGGAGAAGAAGAGGGGAGAAAAGAGGAAGAATCGCTCGAGAGTCCTATGCTCGAGCAGTGGAATAAGGATAGGTAGAAGCCTTGTGCTTGGGAAAAAAATATTACATCAGGAGTCCTGACGCAAAACTGCACCAAGACTTAAATTACAATGCGTCACGTGCACAATCTGACCCTACTTAATACAAAAAATTAAATAGTTTAATGCAAATCAGGGCCGAACCGTACACTTAGACGCATTGTAATAGGAGTCCTGATGCTGTTTTGCAACAGGACTCATGATGTAATATTTTTTCCTTGGAGGTGCATACCGAGCCGAGCAATCCTAGCTTATGGGAGTTTAAGGGCAGCTGCCCCAAACAGACCCTAAGTCGAACCAGGCCAATAAGGTTGTATGTTTTAAATTAATGATTTTGTTTATTCGAACCAGGCCAGTAAGGTTGTATGTTTTAAATTAATGATTTTGTTTATAATTTAAATTATTACGTTAATATTAAAATTTAAAGATAAAATAAGGATTCAAGAATTTCTAATCCAAAAACATAAGTGATTTTGGATAGTGAATTTTTAAATATGAAGAGATAATTGAGGTAAGTGCGAAATTTTATCATTTATTATCAATAGAAAGTAAATTGAAAATATATTATGAAAAATCAGGAAGTAATCGGCTACTTCCTTGGGTGACTATGTCGACCACCTACTTATCATAGATGATTCAATCGAAAGATAACTGTAGAAACAGCTTAATTAGTTTTATTCTTTTCCTTTTTTTTTGTTATTTTTAATTCAAAATTATTTCCTTTACAAATTTAGATTAGATATATTTCGTAAATTTAGAAGGGCTTGGTTTACCTATATATATGTACCCTACATGTGAATAATGAAGTGAAGTAAATTTTTCTTCCCAAATATTTTCTACATGGTATTAAAGAAGTAGCCCTGGATCCTCTTTCATTTTCGTTCCTGATCACAATCCTAGTTGCTGCTCATCTTGGAGGATGAATCGTGTCATGGCCTCTCTGGGTCTCCATCTTCAATCACAGCCGCAACTCGCGAGGGTTGACGCGATCCTCGTTTTTTGCTGCCTTGACGACTTCATCCATCGAGTCACAAAACTTGAAGCAATCCTCCTCGTCTTCTTGCCAACTCGACGACCCCATCTAGTGAAACGTTGAGCCAGAAGAAGACCTCTATGTCTGGTGCGCATCCTCTGTCTCGATTGGTTCTCTTTGCACGATGTTTCCAGTGATGGATTGCGGCGTGCAGAGACCCAAAACTCACAAATTTTTTCTTCTTCCTTTCGTTCAACCTCGCTTCTCCTCAGTCGGATTTCCCCCTGCAGACCCTTTCAAGGCTCATCCTTGCAATAGAAGTTATTCCTACTACACCCTCAACCCGAATTCTCCCTGCAGACCCTCCTTTTTTCTTCTCTACCATCGAAACTCTCCTTGCAACCTGAATCAGTCCTATTGCGGGCCCTCCTCCACCATAATCCATTTAGTTGATATGGAGGCCCGCCTCCGAAGGACCTCCTCTTTTTCCTGGCACCAGAATTCTCCCTATAGGACCTCATCTATTCAAAATATATGTAAATCAATACTAGTAATACCATTCAATATTTACTTATCATATGATAAACTAATGGAAAGTATGACCTGGATCATGGAGCATGGAGAGGGATCCAAAGAAATAATATGAATGGCAAACATGGTTGGCAAGCATATAGATAAAAAAACATGACTTTGGACTCTTATTCCTTCAGAAAAACGCTAAAGAAAATGTGGTTGAGTGGTGGGTAGGAGAAAAGAGGGAGAAGAACAAAGCTAGGGTTCCATTATAGTAAGCTTGTGAAGGCAATTTCTTAGAAATTTCGCTCCAAAAAGTAGGATACCCTTCTCCTTTCGTAAAATCCAATAAATATTCTTCTTGCATGATGTTTAAGAGATGATTTGTGATAGATATTGAGCTCTTATGAAAATTTATATATGATTGACAAAAACTATTTGTAATGATGGAAACAATCTCTTTACATTGAACATTTTATAATTTTTACATGAAATTTCAAATTAAATATCTTTAGCATGGTATTATATTCTTAAAATATGATTTATTTCACATCATATTTCATAAATAGAGATTTATTTTACAAAATCAACAATCTAATACTAACGTATGATATAAATATGTGAAACATTTAGGGCATTACACAAGTATCATATGTAATATTGAACTAGTTAAGAATATATGAAGTGGTTCAAAATATATATTTCCAACATGTTAACATCTCATGAAATATTAATTTAATTTTATCTTATATCTAATGTATTTAAATGTTGTATCTTTTATAATCAGCTATTAATATAGAGTTGAGATTTTATTGCATAAATATATTCATAACGTCAGAAGAATAACTCATGTTAATCAAAATATCTCTTTTATGTTGAACATTTTCTATAATTGTATCTTTAGTAAACTAATATGTAAGTAATCCAACATGACTATAATGTCAATATGATATGTTTATAATGTAAATTTTAATTTAAACAACTATCATCTTTAAGTAGGAAATAAAGAATCATGCAATACTTCATAAATTATAACATTTTTCTAATGAAAGTAATGGTATGCATTAATTTGCATATATACACATTTGTAATAAGTAATATATTATATAAATGGCTGAAGTGTGTGTATAACGAAAGGATGACTAAAAGATTTCCACAGTTAAGTGGATCCAAAAATTGTACACATGAGGGCAAAGTAATGAGTTTCTCTAAAAGATAGAAGTCAACAAGCAGATGGTTCTCTATAAGGTGAAAGGGGGAATTAATGATCATACATGAGTTTGGATAATGTGTAAAAATGATATAAGATGACTATCACGCCGTCGGACAATATTATCATATCCATGATGAAAAAAATCAATTATGCTACTACGACTATGATAATGAAATAATATGATATGTAAGATAACTAATCCAAACTTATTTTTTAATGTATATGATTGTTGCATTTTTATATTATGATAAGAAGTAAAAATTTTCACATGTATATATGTATCTTTTCAATTGGAAAATTTAATGAAACTAAACCATATAATAAGCTTCTAAACAAAAACTATAAAGCACATCATAGAAATTGATAAATAAGAGGTTATTCCTACCTATTATGAACAAGATACATGCATATTACGTTTCACTGCATATTGTACTCTTTTCATGTGAAGAATTCTTGTATAGATTTTGGGTAACCTACTAAGTTATATGCTTAACCTTAGTGTCCATACTATTGTTGTCCATTTCAGGTAAAAGAAATGAATTGATGGAATAAATATGCAAGATCTATAAATAGCATTAGTATATAATATGTTTTTATTTTCGGACAATGATGATGTCATTAAATATGTGAGATGGTGTGAATCTATTATTTTATATAATTATGTTTTGTGCAAACAAAGGACTTCTATATGTACTCCACATTATTGCGGATGTAGTATAGCTTTGTATGATGGATTGATGAATCCCTGCTCTATAAGCCTTAAAAAAATAAGGTATCTAAAAAAAATAATGAACATTGAATCCCTCTCTCTATTCCAGTCTAGCTTATATAAGCTCTTATGCATATGAATTGGTCTATGACACCTTATTTAACATCTCATGTTGGGTAAGAGAAATCTCTAATATATTCAAGTGGCATATATTTTTGTCGTTAGATCTATAGAGTGAATTATATTCTATCCTCAAAAATTGTATGGTCTCCTCTCTACTAAGAATGAAAAAGACAAATATATGTGCAAGTAGTCTATTTTCCAATACTCTCATGCTAAAGCATAAAAGCTTACAATCGTTTCAGTTATTTATGATAGTACAATCAAATATTTTATATGGTCGTAGTCACATAAGTCATTCTTAAAGACCACATGACTTTAATTTGATTATCAAATCATTTCTAGGATTTAGGTGCACGTCATTATTAGTATTACTTGGGATACATAATAGTATTTTGATATTTCATTCTTTATCTCATATTATTTGAATAAATTTTATTAATTTTCCTAAATTATTTGAAGATTTTAAATTTATTGATAAAATTATAATGAATTTAAATTCAAAAAGGTTTCCTATGAGAATCTTTAAGTAATGAATGTGAAAAAGCTTAGGTTATTTATAATGGTGTTGCACATTGGAGAACTAGAAATTCAAAAAAAAAAAATCCTTACCTTAATTCAATTTGCAATGTGTCAAATTTAGTTTTATTTCGTGTGCATGCTTCCAAATCTACAAATTCTTCTCTTTGTTCATCTCCTTCTTGCAAATTTGCATCCAACGCTCAACCAGACAATTCTATCTAGTTTATTTTTTAAGGCTATTTTGGATGATAAGATATTCATTTTATTGACATTTTTCAGAAGTAATATATTTTTATTAATAAAATTTTTCATTTCACCATCAAATCTCCTTATATAAAAAATATGTCAAACCTCTCACAAATCTGTTATGGTAATTACTAAATTCAACAAAAAAATTTATTCCATTAAACCTAAGTTGACTTAAGTTCAAATTTATCAAACTCAAAACTTAACTTGGAAGATTTAACTTATTAACTTCCAACTTCCATCATTCAAATACAATTATTACTGTTTATTCTTACTTATACAACAACAACAACAAAGCATTAATCCCACTACGTGGGGTCGGCTACATGAATCCTTTTCTCCATTGCGTCCTATTTAGTGTCATATTTTCATTTAGTTCTAGTAAATTAAGATCATTTTTAATACAATAAGCCCAAGTCTTCCTAGGTCTACCCCTGCCTTTCTTAACACAAGTCGAATTTAAAACATCTACTCTCCTAATCGGATCATCTAATGGTCGACGTTTAATATGACCAAACCATCTAAGACGACTTTATTCTTACATATACTTCTAAATAAATATCCATAACTACTATTATATATAAATTGCACCCCATCTATCCATAACTACTATTATATATAAATTGCACCCCAAACTTTTATGTAAAATTACACTACAAAACTTGCAAAAATAATTTATTTCCTTCAAAAAGTTCAAAAAGAAAACTACTTGTGATTTAGTAGCTCAACCTTTCTATTCTTATTGTCCATATTTTTAGTCTATCTAATTTGTGCTTCAAGTATATCATTCATCTTTTCAGTTTAAAATTAAAACCACTTCCACTGAATGGAATGCATATGATATCTTTAGAAATTTAAGAATTCAAATGAATCTGATATAATCCTGAGCTTCGTAAGAGAAAAAGATTAGCAGAAGGATGCAAGATAAACCAAGAAAACATAAGAAATCACTTCTCAATGTATGAATTTCATTCTAAAGAGATGAAACATAAAGCAACCCTTTCATAAACAGAGACTAAAAAGAGCAAATTAATCTCTCTAGCTCAAGTTTCTTCTCAGAATAAAAAACTCAACAAATAATATCAAGTGTTTAAACGTGGACAAAATCAGAGAAAATTCAAGGGCATCTAAGTCAATGCATAATCTCTCATGATTTAAAGCATGAACAAATAAAGCAAAAATTTACCATTGTGTGGGATTTGCTCAACTCCATTCACTGGAAGGCCAATCCCAATCCCAGCAACAGTGACACCAACACTAAAGCCTATACCACAGCCAGCACCAACGTAGCCAATAACCTCAGGACCAAACCCAGGACCCCATCCAATGCCACAGCCAATGCCAACCCCCACGCCCCAAAACAAACCTATTGTTGGGTGCACAGGATTCCATCTTTCATACCTTCTGAATATCCCCTTTATGATCATGAGAAACTGCTATAAGAGTTTACTAAACAATCAGTATCATACATCATAGGTGGTAAAATGATAAGAAATGCAGATGAAAATAAGACTATAATAACAAAAATGGAGTCGTTTAGTTGCCCTGCTACTATCAAAACCCAGATCTTCCCCTAGATTTTCAATCAGAAAATAAGCAAACTAATAGATATTGCACCACATATACCAACAAATCATAATATTGGTAAAAATATATTTCCAGTAAACACATTTCTTTATATTCCCGATTGAATTGTTTTCATATTAAAACGAAAAGAAAACGTTCGGAATATGGTTTTCTACAGTGAGGATATCTCATTAAAGATGCCGTTGCCGATAGAATCCTTAAACTAGAATCACATAGCCAAATCTCCCTAAATAATCAACTCAAATCTCCAGAAACCTATTATGTTTATGTATTTTTTGAGATATTGACAGAAAAGAGAGATTAGGTTAGGAACGGATTCTTCTACAGATTTAAAACAAACAAAAATAAACCAAGAAGAAGAAAAAAGCAGTATCAGACAATTTACCAGACGGCCATTACCATCAACTACTCTGCGCTGAAGGTAAGAGTTGGGAAGACGCGGAAGTGGATTCCTGGAAGCAAACTATCCAGAGCCCCCGTATTTTTGTGTAGAATTGCCCCTTGCTAACTGGATATTTACTAAAGTGTACCTAGCCGGTTTTAGGAGAAAATTTTGTGCTTAAAGATGTATGCAGCGTACGTAAGAAAGGTTATTTAAAAGGTATTGGGTGGTTATATCTAAATTATACCTCCTGTAAACTCTCTGTAACTTATAAATATATGAAAACAAAAGTGCGACACTTACTAGAAGGTACATATAAGTTACATAGAGCTTACAGGGGGTATAACACAGATATAACCCCTCAATACCCTCTGAATAACCTCCATGACATATGTTGCACTGCGTACGTCTTACGTACACAAAATTTCTCAAGTTTTAGAGCTTGCATGACAATTTGTTTTTTAATTTGAGGATCATGCCTAATTTTATTCAATAAAAATAAAATATAAAAAATAAAAATATTTATAATTCAAAATTATAACCTAAGGCAAGTTGAACCAAGTCTAAGTTAGGTTAGACTTAGAATGGTTCATGTTTAGAGCTAGTGTAGGTTAGACCTAAGAATGACCCAAGAAAACTTTAGGTCTAAGTCGACCTACAGAGATTTGTGATGTGTTTTAGGTCTAGGTTGATTTAGACCTAAGCTTAACTAAGCCTTTGTTGGTATATCATGTGCTTTCTCTATATAACTAAATTATTAAACAATATTGTTAAGTTATTAAATAATACAAATAAATCACTGGGAATTCACTATACATTTTTATAATTATTATACTTATGGATGTTTTATCATTTAATTATATTATGATAGTTTAGACAGATTTATCTAATAGCTTAGTTGTATTATTTAATGATCTAATTATATTAAGGTCTAATAATTTATAAAGACAAAAAATAGCCCTATTTTGATTCAAAATGTATCAGGATATCCTCGCATAACGTTTTATCTTTATTTTAAATTTTAAATATGTATGCACTTATATATATAGAAAAAAAGACATTAGACATGTAATTATCTCATCAAATTAAAATTGAAATCAAACTTCGGTCATACTTGTCAAATTTGTTTTTGAAATTTCGAATTGTTGAATCTTCTCCAGGGTTCCTCTTGCAGCGTACTCTAGTCTGTTAGTTGGCATCCACGGTATAAGACCCCTTAAATCGGGGGGCTCGAATTTCCTCTGGCATAGTTGGCCTTAAGAAGGAGGTACTCAAATTGTTAGACACATTAGACTATGGCTATAAGCTCGTATGATATCCTCTGACTATTTTTTTAATATATATATATATATATATATATATA